TGATCAATATTTTTAAGACATTTGTGATCAAATACTAGTAACTTACGAGAATTTCTACTCTTAATGGTTGTGTTTTGTATCCGTAAAGTAGAACAGAGCAAACTGGAATGAATTGAACCACTAAGATTAAATCTTATAATTTAAGCTGTTTATTTTAATATCAGGAAATGCATACAATGCCATCAACAGTAAAAAGACAACTTTCAAACTTAATTTTAGTTACAGATAATGACTACAAATTTTAATTTTGAGAAATCAATCTCAGACTTGGTAGAAGTGAGCACATTCTCACTTGACTAATTAATATTTTACATATCACTCTTAACCAGTACAAAACTTCTATAGAAACTCATCTTAATAAACAGTCTGTTGTAGTACACAATTAAGTTATGAGAAAGGATTATACAAGATGTAAACAAGTGAAATTTAGTAAATGTGTAGGTGGATCTTCATCATTAATTAGATGGATACATTTATAATAAATGAAAGAATCGACAAAAGATCTACGTGAAATACAACAAAGAAAATATGATTACAAAAACAAATTGAATAGTTATTTCCATGTGAGTTTAACTTGTGACCAATGTCATGAGAGTTCAACAACGTAGACAACACACCTTTTGACTCATTAACTCAGTTATTTTCTCCAGATTTATTGACACGTAATGAAACCAAATAAACTGTATTACCTAAAATAATACAACTTTAATTCTATTATTTGAATGAAAAATATGATAGTTGATAGCATACTGTTGAACTTATTCAGGGAAATTTACTGACATCTCTTTTTAGTCATTCAAATTCAAATCAATTAACCCTGATAATCTTCCATGTTATCACTTTCTGTTGACTGTTATCTTATGAATATCTCTTAAATATTTATACTGTAGTCTTTTCGGTTCAATAACAGTTGTAATGTTTTATTTGACCATTGTAATGCCATGATCATTCTATTGACTTCTTTTATGAAATGTATGCGTAATCAAATTTTTAAGATCAATTGTAAATACGTTACCCCCAATGGAGCATAGTCCGCCGACCAGCATTCTCCAAAACACTCTGTTCTGGGCCTTCCTATACAGTTTTTGTTCACTTTTTTGATATCTGTCTCCATTTCTCGGTGTAACGTGTTCTTTGGTCTTCCTCTTCTCGTTTGACCTTTAGTGGTTCTCCACGTCTCCGCCCCATACAGTAGAATTGTCTTGATATTTACGTTGAAAATTCTGACTTTGGTGTTAGTCGATAGTTGTTTTGAGTTCCAGATGTTCTTCATTTGTAGATATGCTGCTCTTGCTGTATACATAAAATAATACAACTTTAATGAACACTTTTTTAATTGGATATGAAGAATTATCAAATAATTCTATTATTTAAATTAAAATATTACATTTGATAGCATACTGTTAATCAACTCATGAATGTATTGTAAGAATATTTAATATCGATACTTACGTAATTCCTGATATTAACAATATACCTGTAGGTGGACGTGAAGAAGCTTCTTCATTAACTCTGAATCTCCATGATTGTTTGATAAACAGGAAATTAGACAAAAAAGTTTATAAACGATCAGATAAGTTCTTAGGTTCCTAACGTCTTAGAAAAAAATATTTAAGGAATAAAAAACGACTACTGAAGAGAACAGGAGTAAAAAATATATGGTGATAGATATAACACCCAATGTTTATGATCAGGCTGAATGTAAATGAATGATATCATAAATCCAATGGTATCATTTCTGAGTTACAATTAAGGCTTTTATTAAATTGTCCCTTATGTTTCTGTTATAATGTGGCACGTTTTTCTCTAATCTTTTTACTAACTTATTCCCATTCTGAATTATATTAAGTTTGCTGACAGTTAAATCCAATGAGATACATTTCCTGGTCTTCTTGATTCATGCTAGGAGTCAACAATGCAATCTTGAGATTTATTGTCAAAAATTGCTCTCAAAGCCTGATTTACCCCACCTAATTTATCAACATTCACAATGTTGTCAAATATAATGTTGTTAGGAATGGTATATATTAAGGTTTATTATTTTTTCATCTTATGGTAACTAACCTCCGTCGACACAGAAGATTCTTTTTCATATACAATTGCACATGATAACATTTTAGTTATTAGTAACTGTGTATTTCCACTTAACTCAATTTAGTCACCTCTATCTGATAATTCCCAAGGAATGCCCAGTATGATTTTTGTATGTTAATTGTAACTATAGGTAAATAACATTAAAAGTTCTTAAGTTAGTTTTTTCGCACCGATTGACATTAACTGAAAGGAAAGACTTTAAAACTTCGACTTGTTTTGTTGCCGTTGGCTATGACTTCTCACTCAAAATCCAGACATCTTTTCTGAATAAATTGATTAATCGTCGTTTTTTCTCATCTACTTGGTATTCATCAGTAGATTGTATTTATTCTACAAACATGTGTAGCTCAAACTTATAGCTATTTAATTTTAACTTCTCTTGTATTGACACTCTGAACAGAAAATTATTGAAATACCGAATAACGTAAATGACCATTAAATCTAAGTAAAGATCTAGGTCACCAGACTAATGCAACCGTAAAAAATGTTTCTGAGATCAATAAGTAACAGTTGAAGTTGTTTCTGCTATCGTAGTTCTACCTGATTTATGTCTAAATCAATATTTTTTGATATGATATAAAAGAGTATCGGGACAGACCTATTCATTCTATCATTATATTCAGTTTCATACTTATTAGACAGTTTATTAACAAGACGACTAATCTCCAATATGAAACCAATATTATGTTTAATCTAAGATTACGGTAGATCATTAACGTATGATTAAAAAAAATTATCAATCTATTGATTAGTCTACCAATATTTCTCACTTCACAAAAGGAGAAATACTTTAATTCTACTAATGTACATTACTCTTTCGGATATCACAAATATATATATATATATATATATATATATATATATATATTATTACCAATCTACCCACTACTCAATTTACTTGAAATTAACAAATCAAATCTTAGTACTGGTACGGATTATGTGTCACCGATTCACTAAGAATTTTTTTTCTCCACGTGGCATATGGACCCTAGTTCTTTTAAATAGTAGGATCATGGGTGCTAGCTGCCAGGATATCCTATGCTCTGACAAGGTAGCTTCCCAATCTTTCGTAGTTTTCAATGGTTATCAAAACATAGTCAAAGATGTAATGATATGAAACTTTTACAATTACAATAACTTTCTATACTAAAATAATATCATTATATTTATTATTATACCATAATAACTTAATTACATACTATTCTACTTATTTAATAGAGATTACAACTTTTTTTTCTGTCTGGCTTTAAATTTGTATGACCTTCTGATGAGAATGTTAAACTAAGTAAGTATACAAATGAGTGAACATATTTCTACATGGAATAAATGATAAAATAAGACAATATACTAAAATTTATAGAATTAACCTAAATTTAGATAAAATATAATTAACAAGAAAAATTAAATAAATAATAGATAAGCATTAAGACGAGATTTAAGCCAATATATGTAAACACTCTACATTTACATAATAGACTACTAGGTATTCTTGAAAACGATAGCATTAATAGCAGAAGGCGTTATCTTGTATAATGTCATCAATATATATATACATCGATGTAACTTCACAAATGCCTGTTATCTAATATTTATCACACAGCTTCATTTTTTTCAGAAACAAGTATGCAATTTGTCTGAAAGTCATCTACTTGAATCACAGTTTACGGCTGTCAACTGAGTTTATTTTATCACTTGGTATTTACCAGATCTTCATGGTTTCCTCGTTTCTATACAATTTTATCACAAACAGGCTTCTCAGGACCGAATTTGATTTTTACCGCTTTTGAAGACGTAGTTTCGTATCTGAAGACTCTCTCATTCATCTGAAGTAAATAAATGACTTGGTCCTATCTGCCGATTAACCTGAAATAATTTCATTTTCTGAACTTTTTGAGTACCAATACAAAAATGTTTATCATACATTTCACCTCATCATATCAAACTGTTTCAGAACTCGTCGTTGTCAGTACTTTATCCATCATAACTAATTTATCGACAACTCATCTTTTCCTGGGATTCTTACAAGCATAGGTGAGTTGGTGACTGACGAGAGCTCAGAACAAGCATTAGATGTTGGTCTAGGTTTTTTTTATCTTACTCCCCTTGTCATTCAACAAACGCTTCAGTCTATTTGTGATAGGGAAGGTATACTTTTGAAATATGATTCCTGAAGAGAGAAATCATGAGTAGGTTACTAGCGTCTGATTATGAACACCGTTACATTTTTAATAAATACTGCAGTCGCGAAATGTTAAGATGCTTTTTTAAACGTAAATTAATGAGTAAAGAAAATAAACTAATGAATCTTTAACATATATGACAATTGAGCGTATATTCAATATATCTAACTACCAAACACATTGACGTCCCTTACTGATGAGCACTATATTTTCATAAGACGCAAGGACACATCATTAACGTTTGGTTTAAGGCATGTTCAGAAACGCAGACTTCCCAATTTGGTTCAATGGCACAATCTAAACCTGTGGTCAGATACCTTAGGTGGATTATCTTGAAATCCTTCAATATGACACAGACATTCTTTCCTCCCTTATTTTCTACTATTTTCACTATGTTTCACTCCATAGTTCATTAATTAGTCGTTTTGCTTTTCTATCTTGATGTAAACCTCCATACAAATGTGTCATATCTTATCTTGTTAACATCCATACCTACTTATAATATGCCCAAAAAGCGAAGCTCTTTCACACAAAGAATCTCTCATTTTCAAACTGCATTAAATTTGACATCTGATCTGGGAGATAGGTAAAGAACAAACGCATAAGAACATATATTCAGTAACAACTCAACAACTTCTTATTTCGCACTTTTCCTGATCTACTCTAAACTTTGATAAATTATCATTCTATTTATTAATTAAACATTAAAAAATTAAAAGACTTTTTAATAGCATAAAATAGTGAGATATATTTGGCCCATAAATACAAAATGATTACATATTTATCAATCTTTTTGTTTTGTTTTCAAACTCAAATTATGTTGTAATTTACAACAGGAGGTCTTTCATTTCTTATTTTTGTTTACCATAGATATGTTCAATTAGCCGATCACAAATAAACGCGGGCACATGCACACACACACACAAGAAAATAAATAATTAAACAAATTTATCACAATGTCCTAGAATGAAATACACTAAATCTGATTGTTTACATTCCGGCTAACGTTTTGTTTTTTAATATATATACGTATATAATAATCGTAATATAATAAGAATAATGATTCAAAAATAATAGTAATATTAATGAAAACTAAAAGATATAAGAGTTTTTTTTCTTTCTGTCTTCTTTCTTTTTTTGTATATGAAACATAAAAAAGTAAAAACCATAGCGAATATAATTAAAATATTTGCCTTCTTTTACAACTAAAATTTTTATTTATGTTTACTCTACAAAATTGCAAATTTAAGAGAAAAAATATATTTCTATAATTATAGCATTAAAGAATAATTCTTCATGTATTGCATAGAATAGATGATAAAGAGAAAAAAAACTTTTTATTTTTAGGTATATAGTTTCATTGACTTTTACATAATAAAGCCAAAGAGAATTATATAATCTATAAGATTCTGTGACTTTGATACCACTGACTGACTAGAAGTTCTCAATATATATATATATATATATATATATATATATATATATGAAGTATACCTTATTGATATAAAAACCAAATAACGGAAGTCATAGGAAGTTACAGAAAAATGCCGTGTATATAAAGAACTAAGTTATTGAACTACTTTATGATGTAATCTAATAAGAAAATAAAACAGTCGATTTATATTTGATTCTTTAATTTCATAATGACGTTTCTTTCCTTCAATATTAAGATTATATTGTTCCGAAGTATAGTAAATTAATCATAGCCAAGAAACTAAATAAAGAGGGCCAGTTTTCTGAATTATCGGAGAATTGTATCAGGCCAACAAAACAGATGAAAGCACTGAATGTAAACAATAGTCTCTTGTGTGTGTATTATTTAATTTTGTCGTGTACATGACGCTGCTATGGCTGCCGCTCCTTTTCCACTTCCATCTTCAGACAAACGTAGACAGAACTATATTTAAATATAAAAAACAGTGATTATCGTAAATGGTACTTTAGAGGGATATAAATTAAATTTTTTTACAATTAATACTTCGCTTAAGTAAATTTTTTTATATTTTAAACATATCACCCTTTTAATTTTTCTTTATGTACATGTACGTTAATTACTTTTAAGTGGAATGATAGAAACTATGAGACTTAAACATATTTTCTATGGTGAAATAATATTCACATAAATAGATTTGAATTCAATCATAATCTTTTCAAAATAGAAAAAATTCAAGCGGTAAATTAATAATTTATCCCTCCTCAGAGAATATTTCGTTATTGTTATGGATTTTTTTAAGCAATCCAATGTATAAACTAACTAACAATAAAGTATGAGAAACATTTTAAAATATAATAAAAACATTGAATTTTAATTTACTCGTGTATTCTTTGGTTTTAGCTTATCAACCATATCTGTCATTCGTTCACAAAACTTCGGATGGAATTTATACAAAGAGCCATCAACACCAACAGTTACTTCTGAGCGGTTTATTCTTCGAAGAATGCAGGCAATACCTGAAAATATATGAACGAGAAACCAGCCATTAAATATTTAATATGTTAAAATATTTGTAGTGCTCTATTGAAAAAAAACAGAAACCTATGATTAACAGTTCATGCGATGAAGGTCAATCAACTCACCTGCACCTGCTAGATAAGCTGCCCGTTTAACGACCATTTCACAGGCATATCGTACTATACGGTTATCTATCGGCTCAACAACAGGGACATGCAAGTCATCAGTAAGCATATAATGAGTGTTGTATAAAAGGTGAGCAGGATCTCTGAAACAAAATTTTAGCAAAATAAGATTTTTATATAGAAACAACACATAAAATGTGGTATAAATAGAAAGATAAATATAGTTTTAATTGTTAACATCGAGAAGTAATTGTTTCCGAATTTTTACTACAATTCAGCTGTCCAAAGAAAATAATTTGCTATCGCAGTTTATTATGCACTACATGAACTAAAACTATCAACATAATTAAATTCGTTGGTGCAAAACCAACCTTATATGATTAAGTTCCAGGTTTTTTTTCTGTTTTACATTACTAGCCACTTGATTTCGTTAATCTACATCACTCGTAAATTAATGAGTAACTTTTGAATAATGACTCTTATATCTGGGAAGTAGACAACTGGTAATAGAACATCACAGTTTGTAATGCTGAGCAATGTTGTGCTGTTAACACAAAATGGAGTATGAGATAACAAAAACTATATTGAGTTATTCACAGTATCTTTACATGATCAACAAGTTTTGAAAATCCATAAATCTTCATGTGGAAAATGAAAGTTGAATCCGTAAGTCAATCTAAACAAAACTACTATTGAGAACCTAGAAGCACTGGACGGCCGCTTCGTCCTAGTACAATCTCCACGAATCTCAAAAACTGATAAAAATAGAAGCATTTCATATTTCCGATTTCAATCGTATTCATCATAATAATCAGCTAGGTGAAACTAATGAATACTTTACGTAAACCTAAGAGTGACAAAAATACACAACTCGCTATAAACATAATTTTAGTGTGTAAATCTAAATCGATCAAAGCATAAATATTTAAAGTAAACCTTACCTTTCAACATCCGTTAAGTATCTAGTTAGCAAAGAATTGCGTACTTTCAAACGTTCAGGGAGATCTCCACGAAAGAGAATTTTTTGTTCAACAAGGTAAACAAGGATGTGGCGAACTAACTCACCAAGATACATCCCAGATACCATTTTTTCATATCTGCAGAAAATACAGAACAGAAATAAATCATGAAACGACTATGAATGCTTGAAGAATATACTTCTGCATGATATACGTTGAATGGAAAAAACTGGGATTCTTGAGTCAAGGACTTGTGAATAGTAAACACTATTGCTATTTACTAATGTGTATGAAATAATTTGGGAAAAAGGATTTTACATAAGAACGGTTTTAAACTTTAGATAAATACACAAATAGCATGTACGACCTATCAGTGTACACTATCTTGGGAGAAAAAATATAAACTAGTTTATTACATTATCAATTCTCAGTTGATTAAATGAGTTGCTTATAAGATGAAATAACTCTTAGATGTAACTTGGATATAATCAGTCTGAAAATCATCCCTAGACCTGAACACCAGTGATTTTAGATGCTTACAAGCGCTCATGATGAAATATCAACAAAATAACCATTGACTATAATAATCTTAAGTATCTTTAAAATAAGACTAACAGTTGCTTTCCTGGATGAAGACTGTCCATATCCATTGATTTATCAAACTGTGTCCTCCAACAGTCTAATTCTCCTTTCTCGCCGAATGCACCCCACTCTGTGTTTATGACGACTTCGAGTTCCTTCACACCATCCATCAGCTCAACTTTTGAAGAGTCCTCAATATAAGCAACGTTTGTCCCCGTCCCTACAAAACAGGAAAATCGGGAAACAGTTAGATAAAGATACTTGGATAAAACCTTTATCTGTCAAGTAATAAATGCGCTTAGTTAAACATCAAGCGTTACATATAGTTACGTGTACATGTATTTTCAAGATTTAATCTCGGTTTTACTCACTGAATAAAATAAAACACTTACCAACTATTAATCCGACCGCACATTTTGGGTCCTCAAGAGCACAAGAAGCAAGTGTGCCTACTGTATCGTTTACAACTGCCACACACTTCACATTTAATTCCTGAAACAAATAAAAAATTAAACAGTTAATTATATAGACACAAAATCACTTCATTCAGAGCAAACGACATTCTACGTCTTTTGATACTAACACTGATTACAATGAACCAAAATTTTAAAACTCAAAATACATCTAACTTAAAAACGTGGAGAATGTTAATTGTTTACAAACAAAGTTTTGTGGTTGTACACTCATTGTTGAAACAATTACTATCCATATTGTAACAAGCAACTCACTGACTTGATCACTAAGAATAACAAGACATTTTAGATGACTCTCTTTTAAAGCTTAGTTTTTATCAATGGTCGTACAGTTTTTGAAATATAAAATCGCTGACTCTTTAATTTAGTTTGCTTTAGTCCTTATGTTACTACACAGAAACCATAAATGTTAAGACGTTGTTACGAACTCATTCCTAATCCACTTCAGATGCTAGTCTTATAATGAAAAGGACTGTAAAGGACTACAAACACATTCACATGAATAAGTTAACACCTGGGTTGTTAAGTTAACTTTCAATCAAATTCAAATAAAATATCTGTGAGAAGCCTTTTCATTAAGACGAAAATATCATGGCCACGAATCGACCTAGAAAAGTCTAACGTTAAGTACGTTTGTCGTTGGAAGGGAGTAATAAATTCCCTTGAATGTCAAACATATAATGTCGGTACTGATATGACACTAAAACTGACATAGACTCAGTTGTTGAAGCGTACTCATGCGATCGAAACCAAGTTACTTTTACGATTTCTCCATAAAACAGAAGTATCTTACTGTAAAGAACTATTTTTTAGTAAAATCAACTCTATAAAAGCACGGTTTAGACAACAGAAAGATTCGCATTAACTCAGTAATTGAACTCACTCTTTTGTCTAGCTCAGTTTGCAGCAATTCAGCAACATTATGACCTTCTACTCCATCTGCAGAGAAACCTTTTGTCCATCTCACCAAAGTAGCATGAGTGAGGCCTTTTTGAACACAAGGAAAAGAGAATGTGAATCCGAGGTCAAACTTTTTGTCCTTCATCCCGTTGTTTTCCAAAAAGTCAGCCAGTGTCTCAGCAATATATTTAAAGAGCTACGTAAGAAAAAGGATAATAAGCAATTTATCAAATTGTTTCCAAAAATACTCATCTTTATCAAGTAATCCATAACTAAGATCAAAAGAGCTAGCTAAGCAATTTATTTTTCATTTTATATGAGGAAGGAGTCAACATAGAATGTCTAGAATAAAATCTAAAGGAATGCCAATTCTACTTTTTAGAATGTGATTGTGCTAAGTTACTTCAGGCTACATCATTTTTTTCAATAACAACGACTCTGGCTAGTGCATATTGGTTCCAATTTCTACGTTGATTATGGCTGACTGGTGATAATTTAAAAACACTCAGTGAACATTCAATGCAGGTTTAAAATAAGGTTTGAACACAATAAATTCCATGTTTTGTAAGAATTTTACAAACATTCCCAGTCCGTAAGCTTGTCACTTTTAGAAAGTAGCTTTGGTTAAGCAATGGAAAGCAGCAACACTTTCAGACTCAATTACCCATAATCTAAGTTAATACAACTATTTAACCAAATACGAACACGTGTAATCGACAACAAGACAGTTTTGTTTAATAGTTCATGTGTCCGAGAAGCCAAGTAAAACAAAAAGACCTGAAAGTTACTCGAATTTCGGGCTTTTTGGTTGAAAGCGAAGTGCATTTACCATTAAGTGACCATCACATATGTACAGATATATCCTATGAAAAACTACCGTTCATGAGAGTCGTTATATATTTAAAACTCCTATACTAATTCAAACAATGAAAATAATTCTTGTTATTCAGCCTCTGTACTAACTACTAGCTACTTTTAAGCTACAAAAATATAAAATACAGTAAGATCAGTGTTTGAGTACATGTATGGCTTACTTGCATCAGGTCAGGTCGACTTAGTCTAAATAATGTATTTTATGATGAACATCGCATTCGACACGGCTACTAAGCCATAATTTATGAATGAAATGCAGATATTTTTCTAAATTATCTTAAAAATTAGTATTTCCCTGTATAGAAGTGTTGATTAAAGCTCAGGAAATTCACCCACATCTCTTTATCTGAGGAAATAAAAAAGACGCGTTGTCCCGTCGCCTTCAAACTAGGCCATCAAACAAAGCCAGATATTTTGACAATTGACTAAATCTTGATTGAATTGGATTGAGTAATCTCTCGTGTACCAATTAGTTTAACTTTAAACCAAAACACGAGTCCCAAAGCTATGTCATCTTTAACACCTGAATAAATTGAATAAATTACTTACTTAAAAATGGCAAGACTTAAGTTGATTTATTTCATCGATTTAAAAAGAAATAAGAAAGAAAACACTAACAGATGTGAAAATAAGGACAAAAAGAAGATATCAGTCAAGTTAAAAAAAATAAGCTTGACATTCCGACTAACCTCTGTTCCGGAACCTGACATTTTTTCTGCAGGGATACAGTATGTTCTCTCTTGAATTCTTGGAGATTTTCCTTTGCCTTCAAGAGTAACTGAAAGCACTCGATAATTTGTTCCACCAAGGTCTAAAGCTAAGAAGTTTCCGGTTTCTAAGAAGTTGTAAGATTTTTTATGTCAAAATACCTGTCCCATTCGGTGTTTTTGTAACATAAGATGGAAACATTTTAATAGATGATTTTTCATTTGTACTCTTCTGTAAACCTAGTCGCATTGATTCTCCCATCCTATCACAAATCTCCTCATAATCAACCACAGAAAGATCAAATGGCTTGAGTATCTCGACTACCTTCTCAAAAAGTTGCTGGTCTGAAAACACCATTTTGCTTCACAATATGTCGCGAACCACAGATTAAACCCTTTAAATATCACCCTTCACTCCATGAGTGTCGTTTATACATATAAACAAACTTGCAGTGGAAACAGCACTCATCAACAAATAAGAGATTTAGTAGTAAAATATTCTCAAAAATTCGGTTCAAAGTTTTTTTCTTTGTATTGCTTTCATTCAATGTCATTTGAAAGATTGAGTAGACCTTTTTTCAAGTTACTTAGATCTACCGTTCGTGTAAATACTAATATTTACTGGTATTTATTTGAATGGTCGACATATTGTCCGAAAAACTGTCAAGCGACTTGAATTTTATCAACCGTCTTCTCGTAAATCTTCACTTGGACAGCATAACAATTGCCGGTATTTCGTAAGGTATGATATGATAAGATGACTTCACTTTATTTAGCTAAACCTAGTGCTCATGTACTTTCAAGCCTGTTGTAAAAATCACCTATCTATTGTCAGGACTATGATGAGCGACTCAGAATCTCATGTTGACAATCATATGCAAATTTTTCAGTCAGGCATTTTACAGTTTTATAGATTAGTTTTACTTTAACATTTTTCATTCATTGTAATTTGTAACCTGGCTTAAAATGTTTCACTATGTACTCTAGTTCTATCACGGAGTACCACTATGTAACAATGACGGAAAAAGATATGTCCAAGACAGTCAATACCGTTGTTTTTGAGTTGGACGAGTTTATGCTGACGCCTCTCCGTCTGCCGAGTTCTGTACAAACATTTCTAAAGTTCACTGACACTTATTTCAAGATACGATTCAAGTATGGCCGAACACCGGTTGTCTATCGATTGTCAGTCTTAACTTTGAATATCATGATCTTAAAGCATCATTCTGTAACCACTTGAAAACTATGATTATAATTATTATTGTTATTCACAAAAAGCCTATTGGTATATAAATGTTGTAAGAAAATGCAGTTATAAACAAGTTTCAATAATTTTTGTGCTATACTTGCCGTACTTAAAAAGGTTCTGTAGAACTTGGAAGAATAATGAGTTGAATTTAAGAAAAGGTAGAGAAAAAACAGTGGAAAAATGAAATGTTCTAGTAAAATTAGAAAACATGATAGTTAGAGACGAGATTACACCGAAGTAGAAAGTCAACACTATTAAACAATATATCATGATAATAATATGATGTGAAAGTTTTGATTAATTCCACTTCATTTTTCAGGTACATTAGCGTTTGGATAACAAATAATATCAGCAGAAGACCTTTTTCGTTCCATCATTTAAAAGATAAATGTTGACATACAATCCAACTATTGGTCCGATAACCAGTCCATTACATAGGTTCCTTTCTAATTCTATCCCAAATCAATCCCTAGATATCGGTTATACTGGTAATTATTAGGAATACATAAAATGGCATTCTTACAAAAAACACGAAAATTGATTCGGAATGTCAAGAAGATAGAGTCAACCAACGAAAAACTTAATTTTTCGAAGCTAGATGAACATTTCCTCTACATTTATGATCACCTGATCAGCCGATCAATAAATTAAACTGGGTCTAATTCTCTGTTTAAGTGATAGAACAGTAAGGTTAAAATTAAGAAGTAGTATATATGTTTAGGAGATATTACATCCTAAATTATATCAGTTTGTGACGAAAAACTTGATTTTCACTCTTCATAGTTTCGATCCTAAAGCACGTTTCTCTGTTCCGAATGGCTCGGCAGAGATATTACCAAATGGACTAAAGATGCCACAGGTGTTCGGAGTTCGACAACGCCTTTACCAGTAACACCCTTATATTCGGAATATGCCAACCCAGTGAAATCTGAAGTCAGAAATGAAGGGGCCTGAAGATATATTCGGAAGGCTATCAGTATACCGAGGGATGTTTGGTCTAGGCTGGCTAATAGTTTGTAGGGGTGCGTACAGCGACATGCTCTTTCGTGATCTGGTGCGGATGTTTGACCGAGCACCTTCAGCTAGGTGAGTCCAGTAAAACTAATACGTTCAACATCAAATATTGAAGACATAAAAAGCTATTGATTCCGGGGATTTATTTGCCGATACGGACCGATAACATGACGGTAACAAGTTCCATCAGTCCCATAATTTTGTGACAAATCCACTCGACAACCATTACAAAGTATGAAATCTTAAATATATGTTAGCTTGAGGAGGACCATATCAACCATGTGGCTTGATTGGCCCCAGTAAAGGTTACCATATACATCTAAAACCATCTCATGATATTAAAACCAGAGTCCGGAAAAATTATTTCGTCTAAACTAACATATCAAAATGATCATTTCCTCTTGAAACTTACATGTCACATACAAATTGGAGTTTTTCCCAGTAAGCTCAGGCACAAAAGCAAGTAGGAGCTGACAATTCCACTTGTGGACTGTCTTGATCATAAAAAACGTGTAAAGAACTGGGGCTACGAACTCTGAAAACCTTGTATAGGTAGGCTAACTGTCCATTCATGTAAGTCTCATATAGACAAGCAGGAAGGAAAAGCTCACGCGTTTCAAAGTGAAAGCATAAACTTCTTATACATGAACGTCGCCAGTTTACCAATGGTTTAGCTATGGATTAGCAATGCTAATAATGCTCATCCGATAGGAATATCTGAAACTTGGATATCTTCTCAGTTTACGGACAGGGAGCTAGCAATACCCGGGAAGTCTTTGTTTCGTAACGACAGAAAGACAAGAATTGGGGGTGGAGTAGCCCTATACTTACTATCATGCCTGGAAGTACACCAAGTTCACAACCAAGAATTTCTCAATCTTCATGAATCCGTATGGTGTTCAGTAAGATTGTCTACCACCTCGAGGTGTCTAGTTGGGTTCATCTACAGGGAGCCCACTGCTGACATGGAGTACCACAATCGTATGGTGAAAGGAATAACCCGCTCTACGCTCCTCTGATTCGCTCAAATCCTTATTCTGGGTGACCTAAATCTTCCCTTAGTCAAATTCGCGGAACATACGTTTATTTGAGGAGGAAACTCAACTGAAGCTTGGTTATTCAACCTCATTTAGGATCTGGGATTATTCGAAAATGTGAAGCCAGCGGCTAGTTGGAGAAACAGTCAGATGGCGTCACGCTTAGACTGGGTATTTAAAAACGAAGAATTTTTAGTCAACAACCTCTCAATCCTGGCTCCCCTGGAGAAAAACGATCCCGCCATTATAGCCTTCAGTTTTGTCAGCAAAACTGAGTTAAGATACCCCACCAAATGGTTGAATGCGTCAGCCTTACGGAACTATCTACAACAGGTGGATTGGGATGTTCACCCTCAACTTGATGTGGACGCTCATTGGGATTTGTTACTGCACACGCTCTTATGTGCTGCAGAGCAGTCAGTTCGTCAAACGGTCCCCGAAAGCTACAAGCAACCTACAATCACCATGGACTGCACTCTTCGTTTGCTAAGCCGCAAAAGGCACTTTTGGGAAGAATACAAACGGACTGATAACAACGGCGCGTACAGGCAGTACAAACATATAAGAAACATATGCACAAAGGCAATAAAAGAAGACGAGCTTCAGTACCAGACCAAGCTGTCGTTCGTGATGATGAATTTGTCTTATCGATGAATTTGTCTTCAATCCGAGAAGTTTATTCCGTTACGCAGATTCTCTTCGACAAGGCAAAACTGGGGTTTCCCAACTGCTAGGTCCTAACGGTCCAACCAATAATGACGGTGATGCCTCTAATCTTTTGGCTGAACAATACTCTCGGACATTTCAACCGACACACATAAACTACACTGATGAAAGCTTCACCTACACCTGTACAGGACTTTCCGGAGTGGACTTGAGGCTCTTTATGGATAAGAACAAGTCAATCAATCTGTGATATTGAGGTTGTTTTCCACCATTCAGACTCATGCTTCTAATTTTTGTGCTGGATTAATTATTCTACTAAGACAACCTTCAACATGCTAACTCGGACTTTTACATGAAAACTGTGTGACAGGCACCGGATGATGAAAAAAATGAAAAAAAAACAGACTGTACAGGATATGGTTGTTATTTTACTGAACACTCTACTCTCGATATGCACTCTCTGTTCTTCCTCATTCCAACCTTGACTTCCCTCCTTCATTCGAACCTACTCCACCTTGATAAATATCACAACGCATTGTTCTTTATTACTGCATTCTCTCCTCTGGAGCCCGTAATCACATTTCACTATTGCAACATTAGCTAGTATCAATTTATTCTAATAATTTATCGTACCTCCATCTGTTCAACTAATAAATGTTAAGCATTGATTATCGTTCATATCCAAATGCCTTGCTGCTCCTCGGGTTTTTTTTCTCTTCAGAATCTTGCCCTGTGGGTGAAGCTAGGTAACTTCTGACATCTGGAACAAGCTCGACGAGCGCGCTTTCCCAAGGTCAGATTTCAAACCAGGCGCTCCACAAGCCTACTTTATAACAACTATAAACTTAAAAAGCTGCATTACATAAATACTTAGCACGACCGAAACCCTAATACACTTTTTGTTGAGATTGGATCTGGTATGTAACGTGGACGCCATGCCCCTTGGAAACTATTCTTATAAAAACACATTATATCTAAACGAATGAACTGCTGCCAACTTTTATAAATTATAATTACTAGACAACCTTGCTTGGGATGCATGCTGTGAACCAGTATATGTTGTAAATTGTAGATCATGCCTGTAAAAATGGCGTGTACTGCTATTGCACAAATATATTATTATTATATAAACGGTCTTCCACAATATGTGTAGTCAGACTTATTACTTTTTGCTGATGATGTGAAACTTTGGAGAAAGATAAAAAACCAAGAAGATATACTGACACTTCAGGAGGACCTGACTCGACTTGAAAGTCGTACAGACGACAACGGACCTACCATTAACACTTCAAAGTGTGAAGTAGTCCACCTGTGATATGTTTCAGACTACAGTTAAAACTCAAGAAATTCCTCTCTAGAAGTTTCCCAAGTCGAAAAAGATTTAGAAGTGTTGGTACCCTACGACTTGAAGTCGCACGCTAACTGTGACGAAAACGCCTTTCAAGCAAACCTTGCACTGGTAACATTGAAGTGCATTTTTGGCCAGTTTGATGGAAGGACTTTCCACATAATCTTCAACAGTTTTATTCGTTCCCGTTAAGGATACGGAAACATAGTATTTCCTCTCTCACT